TTTTTGGTGTTAGCATAGCCGGCCACGTGTTACTTAGACTGAAGTATAAATTAAATTCATATTATAGTAAATATAATACAGTGAAATTATTCCTGCTTTTTAATTATTAGTGCTTCGTTGTTCAAAACTCTAATTTGGATTTGGAAAATCCATGTTTTTCTCATGGGCCGCTATATGTTACATGTTCACATGTAGGAAAACCGTCGAACCTATTTGTCTTAGCTAAAGACAGGTTAACCAGAAATATTGTGCACAGATTAGTGCTAAATTTAACTGAAATTAAAAGTGTTTACAATTCAAAATAATAAATATTATTGTTAGAAGATTTTAAACTATCCGCCCTACCTACATCATTTATAAATTTAAGTGTCACATGTTATTTACTAAAAACTTTGTAATATACTCATTTGTTACAAACTTGAATAAAAATAATAATAAATTTTAAACTTAATTTTTTTGCTTTACATCAACTGCATGAAAATTTTGATCAATTGTGTTCAAAGTCCTTCCCCTTCAAATCCCAAACCAGAAGATTTTTATACCAGCTTTAACGTTTCCGTCTCCGTTCGTAAATAATAATATTATTGTAATAAGGGGTAACGGTAGTAGAAAATCGGTCATGAAGGTCGCCATGTTTTTTTACAAATGGCATCTATGTAAAAAAGCATGGTGGTGCCCATGTCTGATGTTCTCCTACCGTTCCCCTTAAATAGTTTACAACAATGTAATATGACAAATACGTTAGCCACAGCAACGCGTGGCCGTGTCAGCTAGCAAAGTTATATATAATCTTACCTTATGTAGAGCTGAGATCATATTGACTTTTCCCTTCTTCAGATATCAGGTGCAAACGAACCGTTTCAGCAGTAGGATCGTACATCACTCCGACTGCTGACGCCATAACGCTCTCCACTTCTATCCCATCAGTTCTCGGGTTGGCCATAACTGACCTCTGTGTTAGTGCCGATGACGTAGTATGTACTCCAGACGGTAACAAAGATTCTTGTTGAGTCTCGTTATTTCCGTTGCATGTCCTTCCGGTCTTCCAGTTGGGGATGTTCCCTATTGGAATCCTCACTACGTCTGTGTCGAAACAGGGGAGTACTTGCTTAAATTCTTTCCGGAAATTTTCATTCAACCAGGCGTAAAGGAACGGATTGTAGCATGTAGAAGACATTGCTAAAGCATGTGCGAAGAAGAACGCAAGATAATAAAACCTCCAACCTACGGAAGGTTCGTGAAAGTCATTGATAATGTTAATGCAATTCAGTGGTAACCACGAAAAGAGAAATATTCCAACCATTGCGATGAGCATTCGATTGGTGCGTTTCTTCCGTTCCCTATCAGCTTCCTCCTTTTTGGAACTCTTAGATCCTGGTTTAGATTTAGCTCTATCGTTCAAACGGGACGACACTCGAATATAACAGAAAGCTATGACAAAGAACGGTATGACAAATTGCATAAGGGTTGTTAAGCCGCCGAAAATTTTCCTGTGGTTTTCAGAAGGCCAGTCTTCTTCGCAAAAATTCTTCGAGCTTGTGGACGTAAGACGCATGAATATGCCGTATGGCAAAGTGACAAGGACAGAAAATAACCAGATACATACAATAATGATTAGGCAGGTAATGAGTTTCATTCTCGGATAAAAGGGGTAAATAATAACAACGTATCTGTCGATGGCGATTGACGTAAGGGTTAGGGTAGAAATGTAAACGCTTATTCCTTGTGCGTGAGAAACCAAGTGACAAATTAGTTCTCCAAACACCCAACGGCCCAAAAATGTATATAATGGTGTAAAAGGCACGGCCAATGTACACAAGAATATATCAGAGAGAGCCAAGTTTGCTATGAATAAATTTGTAACCGTTTGCATTGCTTTATTTCGTAGTACCACGTAACACACGAGTAAGTTTCCAAATATTCCAAGCACAAATATCGTAGTATACACTATAAAGAATAACGCTTGAACCTGCTCGTTGTCGATTATGTCGTATGCGGTGACATTTTTAACCTGAAGATGTTCATTCACTACAACCGACGATGAATTAGATGAATTTAATACTTCCATATTGACTTGTACGTACAGTATCCAAATTAACTATGTTATAAAATCACTTGTTGAACATTAGTCCATTATTCTCTTAATCTGAAACAAACGTAAAGCAAAAATTACCTTTACAATAGTAAATAAAGTCTGTAAGACAAGTAAATAATGTTGTTACATACAGTGAAAATGTCTAATTATTGTACAATTGGGTGAACACATATGTATTCAGTAAAAACCTGAATTGCTGATCCAACCACGTAACTTTTGCTGTAAAATCTTTATCATCTAATGTGGCTTTCATTCATTTTTTATATTGCGATGGAATGCGTGGGGTAATTTGTTTTCGAAAAACTAGGCAAATACAGAGTGTAACAGAAAAAACTGTCGAGCTTTGGAGGGTCTAAACTAAATGCAATAAACAATCTAACGGTGAGTTCAGCAGATTGGTTAAGGGCTAGATTTTTTTTAAAAAAATCACAATAATGTACAATTCGAAGCCGGTCCTGTGCGTGAATTGGCAACAAAGGTGTTTAATATTGAGTAGCGTACCGCGATAAAAACTGTGCAACTAAATGGATGGAGACGTAAACAATACTGATTATCGAATGTCTAAGATAAACATAAACAATTTAGTACATTACATAATGTAAAGAGTTATCAAATTACTTAAAAAAAAGAACTGTAGTCCTGCATTCAAGGGTAAAATATAAGAATGTATGTGTAGTTTATGGGTATGCATAACTTAAAAAGTTATTTTCAGAGGTTTGCAGCTGCTCTTCGTATTAGAACAGTATATGCAATTTTGGACTTTATTTGCCACCAAATAAAACAAAAAGGCAGAAAAAAAATTAAAACCGAAAACATAGATGAGCCAATTGAAATGGAAGTTCGTAACACAACATGTATCAAGAAAATAATACAAAAAAAGACTGAGTTTAAAATAATGTTTACGCATTCTTTTATTGCACTTAGGATTTACATACAAGAAAGACAAGTAATAAAAAGGTTTTAATGGAAAGAACAAACATTGTTCATTAAGGGACAACGTTTTTGAGGAAATACAAAGAAAATCTGACTTCTTGTTTTCCAAAAAGTGTTATCTTCATAAACTTATGAAACGCGAAAATAGACAAAGTGTAAGAAGACCTGTTGCATTTGAGGAAAAACGCCCCATACTTCTACATGCCGAGGAAATAACGAACTGTATAAGCTTTGTCTCTAAATCTAAATTGCAAGCTTATCATGGTAAAAATAAACAGTGACGTGTTCGCCAAATTGACAAAAGAAAATGTAATTCCCAATTTGTAGGAATCATCGTTGGTGATAATGGATAATGCACCGTATCATAGTGTACTCGTACAAGTGGAAAAGCAAACATCTTTTGAAACTGAAGAATAGTAAGCAAGCAATGAAATTCTTTTTGAAGAAGAATTTGCTAAACTCTAAAAGCTACACATCGCAAATAATAATAAAAAAGGAATTAGGTATATAATACTTAGATGAACTGTTATAAAAACAGGACATAAGATTTTACGACTGCCTCCTTACCACTGCCAATTTAATGTTATTGAGTTTATGTGAACTAGGGTAAAAACAATACAATAAACGTGCAGCAAGAACTGACAATGTTGATGGCAGAATTATTAAATTCTGGAAGGAAGATTTAAGCCCGTGTTTCCCAGAACATTGGCGTAAATGTGTGGAGCATACATATAATGTTAAACAGGAATGGTACAATAGAGATATATTATTGGAAGAAGTTTCCGAAATAATTATCACTAATGAAGCCGACAATCAAGAAATTAATGATGAATAAATAAATATCTCCCTTCTGGTCCACAAAGGAGAAACGAACAAATTCTGTTTTATTTTAATATCTCATTAAACTGAAGTCACTAGAAAATAAGAACGGAATGCGAGAGGAGGGTTGTAATAAATTAAAATGCCACTAAAAAGAGGGTAGATTATTCTGATCAGATATTTTACCACACAGTACTACGTAGAAGCATAAAGTGATACCTATATGTAAAAGATTTTATTCCAACAGGCAGTTATAGAGATGACGGGAGTCAGATAGGGATGCACACTATCACTGCTACTTTTTAATCTATACATTGAAGACGCGATCATAATCATTAAAGACAGTGCAACTGTAGGGATAGATATAGAGGGGGCAAAAGATTAGTATGCTTAGATTTGCAGATAATGTATCAGTATTAGCATCTAGCAAGGATTAGTTAGAGATAGCTTTAAATAAAATGGAAGCGGTATTGCTAAAACAGTATTGTATTAAAATAAATAAAAGTAAAACAAGAATACTTGTATGCAAGTGAAGAAAAAATAGGGAAAGAGCGAATATAAACTTAGGAGACAAAAAATTAGAAGAAGTCACTGATTTTAGGTATCCAGGAAGACAGATAAGTCAGAACGGAAGAAGTAGTAGGGATATAAAGCAGAGAATAGCACAGGGTCAAGTCGCCTTCAATAAAAAGAAGTAACTTCTATGCTAGCGAACGGTTAATTTAGAAATTCGAAAAAGAATGTTAAAGGTGTATGTTTAGAGCACGGTGCTGGAAGTCAATAAGAAATAGATAGGCTGGTAGGACACCTTCTCAGGCATGAAGATCTACTCAGAGACATATTAGAGATAGAAACATGAGTTAAGAGGAGTACAGATAGACCTAGGTTAGATTACTGTTCGCAAATAGTTAAGGATGTGGGTTGTTCTAAGATAGAAAAGAGTGGAGGTGCGTGTCCAACCAGTCTTAGGACTGACGACCTTACGACGATGTCACGCCCTCGTAGGTAATCTAACTCGGGTCCCTGGCATAGTACGTAAAACCAGGGACCTTGAGTATGTTTCAAAAAGTAGTTTATGCTCATGACGTTAACAAGAAAGTGCCACGTGTTATTACTACTTGTTCAGAATGCCCTGAACAACAAGCTACTGTTTATCCTGTTTTAATTCTTACTGTATTTAGTAACTATCAGCACTAGAGGATACGACAAAACGGCTCTTACGCATATGCAGTCGGACGCATATTACACATTTGCACCTTGGACAATCGCGTTCCCGGAGGCATGTGCACAAATGAAATTGAAACCATCAAAATCTTTACTAGCAGTCAACGTGTTAATTCTATCAAAAAAAATACTATTCATTATAGAGACAGAGGCGAACGCCACAATTAGCTTTTTAGGTATTTATATATTTGTAAATCATTATTTTAGTTAACGCGTTACAAGTTAAAAGTGCTAATCGTTTTTGTTCCCTAAATTATATCAAAAATGTTAGTAGGAAAATCTCAAATAAACTAAAAAGTTTAAAATTTAATATCATAGAACAATAGTAATATTTTGCACAGATATCAACAATATTTAGTTACTACACGATGTGGAAAAACCAAAAAAAGGTGCATGTAATATGGCCATGATAACTAGATACCTTTAAATATTTTACGAGACTCGTTTGACAAGGAAAACGATCTGTTACTCTTATATATGAACTTACATATCTATAGTAAGAAAAGGAATACTTTAGAAACCAATTAATTATGGTATAACTGCAAATTGCTAACCAAAATCAGCACCGAAAATGATGTGGTCTAACTAATGTATTAGGATCAGTTTTCAAATTTGTATAAGTAACATTAGACGAAGGCGACGGAGAACGTTATGATAGGGAAATCAACTCATTAAAGTAATAAGAAAATCTAATTAACCATTTTAATAAACAATTATCGATACAGAATACAATATCTACACAGGAGTTCAAGGGTAATGTACCTGGTTTTAAAACTTGCTCATCTTTTTTGCCTCGCATTTCCATAGTGGGATAAAACCAGTTACATTATATCGAGTATCGTTAGGGAATATAGATTCATATTTCATCCCATACAATATGTCCAACGAATCGCTACAGCTATATTACACTGGCCAACAAAAGAAAATAAATTGTTTGTTTCCTGTAACGTTTTCTTTTTTGTTTCTAACGCATTTTGGTGAATATTTTTGTAAATATGGTAATAATTTTTCTGTAACCGCTTTAGTTTTTGAGTTAC